TCCAGGGGATTTACTGAGCAGGCTATTGGGAGGGTGTCTCTTATACACATCTAGATGTGTATAAGAGACAGCTCCCCCTCCCTCTCTCTCTCACACACACACAACTCACATGGGTCAAGATGAATGGAGGGCAGAGGGTTGAGCCTGTCTCTTATACACATCTAGATGTGTATAAGAGACAGCAACTCACATGGGTCAAGATGAATGGAGGGCAGAGGGTTGAGCAATTGACATGTCAGACATAGTGAGGAAGTTTGTGGGGATCTGAAAAAGACCATGTATGTATGAGCATAGATACCAGCAAGAGAGAAGGAAGTGCGTGCAGGACAAATTAGCAATAGCAGTGGGAAGTAAGGTATGGCTTCCCAGGTATGCAAAATTGTTGACTGAAGGACTTTGAGAGACATGCACACGACCGGTCCTAGAGAGGAGCAAATAGCATATAAGCTAACGAATGAACATAGCATTACAGATGCAATAAAAATCTGGACAGAGTGCATAACAGGTTGCTATTAGCTCTCAGATGACAAATGCTGGTAGCAATTTTGCTGGGAGAACCCAAAGAATAGGGGCGCAAGAACTCAGATGAAGGCATCAACATAAAATCAGGTTAAGCAGCAACTGGGTCTGGAATGTCAGGCAGTGGCATGCACACAGCCGGCACTAGTAAAACAAACAAAAAAACAAGGAACAAAAGGTGCTGCCCAGGAGAGTTCGTGTGTCACGGAGAGCGAATGGGACACCAAAATGAGAGCGCAAGGGCTCAAGGAGATACCGCACTCCTAACCAACCACCCGATGAGCTGCGTGATGGCCAGCCAACAGAGATGAAAACGGATAGGCACCGCACAATCCTCAACACCCCTCCGGAATACGACCAGGGCCTTCCACTCCTCGTAGTGGCCATTAACGAACTGCCAGCCAGACGGCCAAGGCAGAAATCAGACTTCAAGTAAAAAGAACCTAGCATCTACTTCAACAGGCAGATTCTCAAGAATCCGGTGTTCCATTTCACCACTCAACAAAAACTGCATCACAACCTACTGCTCTCTCCATCAATCCCGCTAATCCTGCGCCTACACTTCCTTGGGGAGAGCTTGCCACTATCACAAACTGCCTGCGTAAGTTTCTTCTTCTACTCTCTCTCTCTCTCTCTCTCTCTCTCTCTCTCTCTCTCTCTCTCTCTCTCTCTCTCTCTCTCTCTCTCTCTCTCTCTCTCGTCCCCCCCTTCCTTCGTCCCCCCCTCTTTAGCCATGTTTCGCATTTACCGTGTGTTGAGTGCAAGGACAAGTGGCCGCACACGTGTGCCTATGTGTGTGGACAGACTGAGAGATGACTGTCACTCGGAAATGATCGATTGGCTGGGGACAACTAGACAGACTGGTCAGGGACATGTACAACGGGATCCGTGGGGAAGGCGGTGAAGGAAAAGTAGTGTGAAGTGGCCCATACGCCAGGAAGGGTACTCCAGGCAAGAGCACCAATCACTCCTCAAGAACTCCCCGACCTGCTCCTATGCTTTCCTCAATGGGACTCGATGAGAGTTCCCCATTTTGTAAGACGTTCGAACTCGAGCAGGGATCAAGGGTCAAGGGTCAAAGCTATCTCCTCTACCACATGTTATAAACCACCATGAGTAGGTTGTTTGTCACTTTATTGATTAATAATGGATTTCGATTGTGAAGAAAGACTTCCTCCGGGTCATATTCCCTCTTCGATGTTCATTGGATAAATGATCTATCAGTGCAATTGGGCACCATTGGATTGCATTACATTCCCACCTAGCCTGAGTGACCATAATCATCCGTACCTGTGTCCATTCTCTTTTGTTGCTTGGGGGCAGCCATCTCTGGCTTCACCCTTTGATCAGTTAATATCAGGCTCGATAGAGCTTATTAGCCCATTGTTTCTGAGAGATTGGCAGTGTTCTTCAGCTTCATCCTGCCCACAGACAATGACACAAGAGAGGCCATAAATATGTGCCTCGTTCATGATTGAAAAGGCACCCTCTAGAGTCATACCAGGGATGCATTTCATCAACACCTGGACAACGTATTCCCGCTTGTTGAAATTGTCGTTGTGAAGCAGCACCTTGTACGGCGGCGACATCTTCTTCTTCGTATCTTTTCTGCAAACCAAAACGACAAGGAAAAAATGAAAGGTTGGCAATGAGAACACCTGCCTGATCGGTTGTGAACGGTACACACATGTCAACTCTTCATCTGTTCAAGTCCTGCAGCATACAATAATGGTGGAGGCCAAACGCTTCTTCTCCCACAAAAATGAACATGTGCGCACACACACACACACACACGCCATATTCTTCAGACATAACCACGCTGCAACTTTCTGGACAGATCTAGCACTAGAACTTTCTGGACAGATCTAGATGTGATCATGCACAGAGTCAGGCAAACATGTTTGTAGGGTACGGTCTTAGAAATGACAAAGTTTAGAATTCCATTGCCTCGCCCAACACACACACACACACACACACAAACACCCCTGCGCCGGGAACCAAGGTCTTTGAAATGCACACACAGTTTAGTATTCGGTCATCCAAAATTGGAAAGTACAGGGGCACGGTCCCACCTGCCCGGCTATCTTATCCCAGGCCGTTGATCTTCGCACCCAGTAACAAAGGATCCGCTTGAGTGGGGCCTGAACCCAGTAGCAAAGAGAGAGAAGGGCTCTTCTGGTCAAACCTGCTATGTGCCCAACACACACAGAGACCATGCGCTGTGCAGTGCGCGTGCGCCATGTGCCATGAGCCATGCCCAAATTAGTGATGCGCTTCTTTTTTTTTTTTTTTATAGGTGTGTGTG